CATCCTGAGGCTGATCCTCGTCCTGATCCTCATCTTCAGCCTCAACCTCACCCTCATCGACATCCTCATCCTCATGCTCATTTTCATCTCATACTCATGCTCATCCTCAGCCTCATCCTCATCCGCATCCTTGTTCTAATGCTCATCCTCATCCTGATCCTGATCCTGATCCTCACTCTCATCCTCATTCTCAACATCGTCTCGATCTTCATCCTCACGTCATCCTTATCTTCATACTCATACTCATCCTCGTCCGCAACCCCATCCTCATCCTCATCTTTGTCGTCATCCTCCTCGTCATCCTGATACTTATCCTCATGCTCAATCTCATCCTCATCCTCATCCTCATCGTCCCCATCATCATCGTAATCCTGATCTCATCCTTACGTTTTCCTAATCATCATCCGCATTCTCAACCTAATCACCTTGCTAACCCTCATCCCCATTTTCGTTCTCATCTCATCCTCATTCTCATCGTCATCCTCGTCCGCAACCCCATCCTCATTCTCATCATAATCGTCATGCTCATCCCCATCATATCCTAATCCTCATCCGCATCCTTATCTTAATCCTCACCCTCATCCTAATCCCAATGCTGATCCTGATACTCATCCTCATCCTCACTCTCATCCTAATCCTCATCTCATCCTCATTCCCAACCTCCTCTCCATCTTCATAATCATCTCATCCTCATCCTCATCGTCATCCTCGTCCGCAACCCCATCCTCATTCTAATCGTTATCGTCATCCTTATCCTCATCCTCATGCTCATTTTCATCTCATCCTCATGCTCATCCTGAGCCTCATCCTCATCCTCATTCACATCATCATTCCCCCCTAATCCTCATCCACATTCTCAATCTCATCCTCATCCTCATCCTCATCGCCATTTTCGTCGTCATCTCATTCTCATTCTCATCGTCATCCTGATCCTCATCATAATCGTCACGCTCATCCCCATCACATCCTCATCCTCATCCGCATCCTTATCCTAATCCTCATCCTCATCCTGATCCTCGTCCTGATCCTCATCTTCAGCCTCAACCTCACCCTCATCGACATCCTCATTCTCATGCTCATTTTCATCTCATACTCATGCTCATCCTCAGCCTCATCCTCATCCTCATCCTCATTAACATCATCATCATCATCCTCGTCCTCATCGTCATCATCATCCTCATCCTTATCCTCATCGTTATCCTCAGCCTCATACTCATTATCATCTCATCCTCATTCTCATCCTCAACCTCATCTTCATTCTTATATCATCCTCATTCTCAATTTATTCTGCATCGTCATCCTCATCTTATCCTCATCCTCATCCTGTTCCTCGTCCTGATCCTCATCCTCATCGTTATCTTCATCCTTATCGTTGTCGTCATCTTCATCGTCATCGTCATCCTCATCCTCATTCTCATCCTAATCCTCATCCTGATCCCGATCCTCTTACTCATCTCATCGTTATTCACATACTCATCCTCAACCTAATCGTCATCCCCATTCCCGTCCTCATCTCATTCTCCTTCTCATCCTCATCCTCATTCTGATCCTGATCCTGATCCTGATCCTCATCTTTATCGTCATTCTCATCCTGATCCTTATCCTGATCCTCTTCCTCATCTTCAGCTTCATCCTCATCCTCATCCGCATCCTCATCATCATGCTGTTCTTGATCCTGATCTTCATCATAATACTCATCCTCATCCTGATTACCATCATCGCCCTCATCCTCGTCCTCATAGTCATCATCATCCTCGTCCTAAACCTCATTCTCAACCTCATTCTCATTCTCATCCTCATCCTCATCCTAATCCTCATCCCCATTTCCTTCCTCATCTCATTCCCATCCTCATCCTTATCCTCATCCTCATCCTCAGCGTAATCCTTATCCTCATACTCATACTAACAACATCGTCATCCCCAACCTCATCCTAATCCTCATCCGCATTCTCATCCACATCGCCATCTTCATCGTCATCCTTATGCTCATCCTCATACTCATCATCATCTCATCCTCATGCCCATCCCCATCCTGATCCTCATCAAAATCGTCATCCTCATCGACATCTCAACCTCATCCTTATCCGCATCCTTAACATAATCCTCAATTTCATCTTGATCTCATCCTCATCCTCATCCTCTTCTTCGTCCTCAACCTAATAATCATCTTCATTGTTATCGGCATCCTCATCGTCATACTCATGCTCATCCTCATCCTCATCGTCATATTCATCTTCATCTAATACTCATGCTCATCCTCATCCTGATTTTCATCATAGTCCTCCGTTTCATCGTCATATTAATCCTCATCCTCATCCTGATTAACTTCATCATCCTCATCCTCGTCCTCACCGTCCTCATCATCCTCGTCCTAAACCTCATCCTCAACCTCATTCTCATTCTCATCCTCATCCTCATCCTCATCCTTATCCTAATACTCAGACTAGTCTTCATCCTCAAACTCATCTCATCCTCATCCTCATCCTCATCCTTATCCTAATACTAAGACTAGTCTTCATCCTCAAACTCATCTCATCCTCATCCTCATCCTCATCCTCGTCCTCAACCAAATCTCCATCCTTATCGTTATCATCATCCTCATCGTCAACCTCATCCTAATCTTCATGCTCGTTCTCATACTCATCCTCATCCTCATTTTCGTCCACTTTCTTGTCCTCATCCTCATCCGCATTTTCATCTCTTCCTCATTCTCATTCTCTTCCTAATCCACATCCTTATCCACATCTTCATTCTCATCTTCATCTTCGTCCTCATCCTCGTCCTCACTCATCCTAATCCTCATCTCATCCTCATCCTCATCCTCGTCCTCAACCAAATCTCCATCCTTATCGTTATCATCATCCTCATCGTCATCCGCATCCGCATTCTCATCCTCATCCTCATCCTCATCCTCATCTTCATCCCATCCTCATGCCCATTCTCATCCTGATCCTCATCATAATCGTCATCCTCATCCACATCTCATCCTCATCATCATTCGCATCCTTATCTTATTCCTCGTCCTCATTTTCACCTCATTCTCATCCTCATCCTCATCATCGTTCTCAACCTAATCGCCATCCTCATCGACATCCTCATGCACATCCTCATGCTCATTGTCATCCTCATCCTCATCCTCATCGCCGACATCACCATCCTCAACCTCTTCCTAATCCCCATCCGCATTCTCATCCTCATCTTCAACCTAATCCTCATCCCCATTTCCGTGCTTATCTCATTCTCATCCTCATTGTCATCCTCCTCGTCATCCTTATTCTCATCCTCATTCTCATCTTCATCTGATCCTCATGCTCATCCTCATACTGATCTTCATCATAATACTCAGCCTCAACTTCATCCTGAATAAAATCATCATCCTCATCCTCGTCTTCATCGTCATCATCATCCTCGTCCTAAACCTAATCCTCAACCTCAATCTACTTCTCATCCTCATCCTCATCGTTATCATCATCCTCATCGTCATCCTTATCCTCATCCTCATACTCATCTTCATCTCATCCTCATGCCCATCCTCATCCTGATCCTCATCATAATCGTCATCCTCATCCACATGTCATCCTCATCCACATCCTCATCCTCATCTAAACATCATGCTCATCTTCAACTATATCCTCATACTCATCTTGATTTTCATCCTGATCCTCATTTTTATCCCCATCTCATCCCCCTCCTGATCCTCATCCACATCCCCATTTTCAAACTCAATTTCATCCTGATTATCATCCTTATCTCATCCTCATCCTCATCGGCATCCAAATCCTCATCATCATCCGCATCTTCATCTCATCTTCAACCTCACCGTCATATTCATCCTCAATCTCATCGTCCTCATCATCCACATCTCATCCTTATCCTCATCCTGATCTTCATCTTCATCCTCATCCTCATCTCATCCTCATTCTCGATCTCATCCACATCCTCATCCTCATCCTCATCCTTATTCTCGTTCTCATTCTCTTCTCATCCTCATCCTGATCATCATCCTCATCCGCAGCCTTATCATCACTCTCATCATTTTACTCTTCCTCACCTCATCCTCGTCCTAATCCTCATCCCCATTCCCGTCCTTATCTCATTGTCATCGTCATCGTCATCCTCATCGTCATCCTTATCCTCTTTGTCATACTCATCTTCAACTCATCGTCATGCCCATCCTCATCCTCATCCACGTCTCATCCTCATCAACATCCTCATCCTAATCCTCATCTTCATTCCCGTTCTCATCTCATTCTCATCCTCATCCTAATCCTCATCCCCATTCCTGTCCCGATCTCATTCTCATCCTCATCCTCATCCTCTTCCTCATCCTTGTCCTCAGACTCATACTAGTCCTCATCCTCAAACTCGTCTCATCCTCATCCTCACCCCCATCCTCGTCTTCTTCCTCATCGTTATCGTCATCCTCATCGTCATCCTCATGCTCATTCTCATCCTCATCCTGATCCTCATCTTTGTTCTCATTCTTGTCCTCATACTCATCCTAATCCTCATCTCATTCGCATATCCATCCTCTTTCTAATTCTTATCCGCATTCTGATCCTCATCCCCATCCTAATTCAATCGCATTCCCGTCTTCATCTCATTCCCATCCTCGTCGTGATCCTCATCGTCATCCTTATCCTCATCCTCATACTCATATTCATCTCATCCTCATTCCCATCCTCATCCTTTTCCTAATCCTCATCCTCATCTCCATCCCATCCTCATCCTCATCGTCGTCCTCAACCTAATCCTATTCCTCATCGTCATCGCCATCCTGATCGTCATCGTCATCCTCATCGTCGACATCATCATCCTCAAACTAATCCACATTAACGTCCTTATCTCATTCTCATCCTCATCGTCATCGTCATCCTCATCCTTATCCTCATCCTCATTCTCATCTTCATCTCATCCTCATGCTCATCATCATCCTGATCCTCACGATAATCCTCAGCCTCATCTGCATCCTGATCCTCATCATAATCCTCATCCTCTTATTCGTCCTCAACCTCACTGTTATCGTTATCCTCACCGTCATCCTCATCCTCATCTTCATGCTCATCCTCATCCGCATCGTAATCCTCACCCTCATTCCCGTCTTCATCTCATTCTCATCCTCATCTTCATCTTCATCATCATCCTTATCCGCATCCGCAAACTCATCTTCATCTCATCCTCATGCCCATGGTAATCTTGATCCTCATCATAATCGTCATCCTCGTCCCCATCTCTCCCTCATCCTCATCCGCATTCTCATCCTCATCCTCATCCTAATTCTCACCCCTATTCCCGTCTTCATCTCAAACTCATCCTCATCGTCATCCTCCTCGTCATCCTTATTCTCATCCTCATCCTCATCTTCATCTCAACCTCATTATAATCCTCCATCTCAAACTCATCCCCATCGTCATCCTCTTCGTCATCCTTATTCTCATCCTCATACTCATCTTCATCTCAACCTCATTATAATCCTCATACTCATTATCATCCTCATCCTCATCTCATCCTCATCCTCATTCCTAACCTCATCCTCATCTTTATCGTCATACGTTTTCTCAACATCATCATCGTCATCCACATCCTCATACTCACTTCAAACTGATCCTCGTTTTTGTCCCCATCGTCATCCTAATTTCATGCTCATTCTCATTCTCATCTTCATCCTCATCCTTATCCTCATCCTCATCCTCGTCATCATGCTCATCCTCATATTATGGTTCATCCTAATCCACATGCTCATTCTCATCCAAATCACATTCTCATCCTTATTCTCATCAACATCCTCATCCTAATCCTCATCCTCATAATCATCATCAACAAACTCATCCATATCCCCATCTCATCCTGCTCCGAATTGCCGTCCTCATCCTCATCCTCATCCGCAAGATCATACTCAATCTCATCCTCATCCTCATAATTTTACTCATCCTCATTCTAATCATCATCATCCTCATCCTCGTTCTCATCCTCACCTTCATCCTCATCCTCATCCTCCTCCTCATCCTTATCCACATCCTCATCCTTATCC